GTGGCGCTTTGGCCCAGAGGCAATGTCTCTGTCATTGGTGTGGAACCCCAGGGTTCACCTCCTAGGCAAGTTCGAATCCCGGTTAGGGCGGTTGGTACCTTCCAGTGTACTCACCACCCGCAGGAAGGTTTGGTACGGTGCAATGTGATTTGGGTGGCGACTGCTGCCCCCGCGACCCGGTAACGGATAAGCAGATGAAAATGGATGGATGGATGGATGGATGGAGAGACCTGAAAATGGCTGTCCACCAACATTCACCATCCAACCTGACGGAACTGCAGAGGATCTGCAAGGAAGAATGGCAGAGGATCCCCAAATCCAGGTGTGAAAAACTTGTTGCATCATTCCCAAGAAGACTCATGGCTGTACTAGCTCAAAAGGGTGCTTCTACTCAATACTGAGCAAAGGGTCTGAATACTTATGACCATGTGATATTTCAGCTTTTCTTTTTTAATAAATTTGCAAAAATTTCTAAATTTCTGTCAAGATGGGGTGCTCAGTGTACATTAATGAGAAATAAAATGAACTTTTTTGATTTTAGCAAATGGCTGCAATGAAACAGTGACAAATTTAAAGGGGCCTGAATACTTTAAGTACCCACTGTATTTTGAGAAAAACCTAAATTTCTAAATGCGAGTTGACTTGACTTATTGTAACAAAATACCAAACATATCAGATATAATGGCAGCATGATGTCTATCACATTTGTGATATTTGATATGTTTTAGTGCTGAAATTAAATTTAGAAATGAAAATAGAATCAATCTGGAGGAGACTGGAGAAAGGTTGTAAATGTAGCCTCCTTACATGCATCATGCATTTATGCATCATAACAACCTTGAGCGATAAAGGAGCAGGAGCTGAACACTGTGATTGTAAACATTTCCTTTACCATATTTTACCTTTCACCAAAAGACCTCATGTTCTGACTGTGATCTCAGTTATTACTGTGGAGAATCATTACCTGTTCTTTTTTGGTTTTCTTCTTGGGGACCGAATCGCTGCCTCTCTCAGACTCAGACCTGCTCCTGACTGACCGCCGCTGCAGCTTCCTCTCCTGAGAGCCTGAAAACACACCGACAGTTGTAACATTTCACGAACCGCACGGCGTCAATCTGTTACCTCACGCAGTCATCGTGTCTGTGGTTGCTGACCTTGTCGACTGCTGTGGTGTGACGCGGGAGACGAGGTCTGCTGGGCCCCTCCCTCCTCACTCATCCGACAGGCTGGGGAGCCTCCCCTCATTTCTTCCTCTTCCTCCCCTATATCACCGTCTTCTTCTTCCCCAGGACTGGACTCGGGTTTAGTTCTGCTGTCCTGCTGAGAGCATCCACATGTAAACGTCTGACAGTGTAGCTCTGCTAATTGAACCTTTACTAAACAAAGTGAGACAAACCTCAGGAGAGCAGTATCCCAGGTCAGGCTGTCGGGCTTCTCCCTCCTCTCTCTCCTCCTCTTCTTCTTCTTCTTCCTCATCTTCATCTTTGTCCTTCTTAGGAGAGGGAGCTTCTTTTTTCTGCAGGAGCGGCCAATCGCATTTGGTGATTTCCACATTTAGCCTCTTCATGGTGATGGAGAGCGGAAGCAGTTTTCTGGCAGCCGCTGTTTTCCAGGCTCTCACCGGAGGTGGAGAGTCCTGTTGGGCATTGTGTCTCGGGGACCCAGTTGTACACCGGTCCACCTTCTGACTCCTTTCCTCGTTTGAGCTCTGAGTGTCTGTGTTGTTGTCTGCGTTTGTGATGCTGCACTGTCTGTGTGGCAGCTGTCTTCGTGGGGGCAGCTCTCTGTCTGGCCATTTCAAGGCGGCATCTTCCTTCCTACTGATGGAGCCACTGGAACGTCGGCTTCGCTTCTCGGCTCGCATGTTGGGGTTCTTGTTGGGCAGGGCATCAGTGGGGTCGGGGTCCACGTAGATGAAGGTGTAGTTGTCTATTCGCTCCTGTCGCGTCATCACAAAGGCGTCCTCTGCGTGGCCCACACCCACCTCCCACTGAGTCCGCTCTCGCTGGGGGATGGGCTTCAGAAGCTTGAAGAGAAAACAAGGGAAAACATATGATATGAGCAAGAAAATGAAGGTAAGGGTCTAGAATAACATATCAGTAGGAACACTGACAACAGGCAGTGGGATTCGATCACAGGTGTAGTTCGCCTTTTTTGATTTTGTTTAGTTGGCCAGTGTAGATCAGTGATTCCCAAACTTTTTTTCTGGGGACCCATATTTTAAAAGTCACAAACCTTCACGATCCAAGTCAATAGAGATTATTGGTAAACTCCTGGGAAACATGATGTGAGACGACCCAAAAAATAAATCTCGTGCGACCTATCTGAGAGTCGTGACCCAGTCTTTGGGAAACAATGGTGCAGAAGACAAAGAGTCCAATTGGACAGATTTGTGATGTCAGTGATGATGTAAAACAGGTCAAAATGTAATTCTCAATATGTTTTGGTTCAAGTTGGGTTCAAGTCTGACTTATGTTGATTTTGTTGGTGCTTGAATTTTACTTTCATAAAAAAGGTCAAATATCATGTTTGAACAAACCTTATGTTTCTCCACAGGGTTTGACGCCTTGCGCATAGTCTCCGCCTGGAGGTCATCAAATTGCTGCTTTCCTTGATATATGACTATCCTCTTCTCGTGGATCCAGGCTCGCTCAGCAACGCTGCCAAAGAACTGGACATGGTATTCTCTGTGACCTGTGCAGCAAACAGGAACATGGAAACTCAGGCTCAAAAATATTTAGAGACTGGTCACAGATAATGAGCAGATTTAGAAAGTTCAGACTCCCATTACCCCTGGTATTGATGCGTGTGTGGACCTTCATCTGTGGGTCAGAGGAGACCATGCAGGGCCACCAGGGGTAGGTGCCCACCTTAGACCAAACAAGATCACCAATCACAAACTCCTTGCAGAAGCCCGTCTCTTGGATTACTGATGGATGACTGACGGACGGCTTAGGAACCTGAACAGAAACATGAGAAGTGACGGATCTGATTACTAAAAATGCAGCAGTCACGTTTATTGAAGAAGGGAAACCGAAAACCAATCGACCGCTTGCCTTTGGGGTCTTTGATTCGGTTTTGTTAACTATCTTCTGAGTCTTCTCTGCTTGGGACAAAGGTGCTTCTCTCAGCAGGGCTTGGGTGTGTGTGTAGTCTGTCTGGCCTATGGAACCTGTTTGGGTCTGTCTTTGGTCCAGGTTTTGTTCCTGGACTTTCAGCTGCAGCCTTGTGCTCTTTTTCCTCTTCTCCTTCTTTCTCTCGTGTCTGCGCTGCGTCTGAGCGGCTTCCTTCTTCTGAGACTCCTTCAAACCATCACAAAACAGAATTAAAAAAAAAAAGTTTTAGTCATCAAAATTTGAAGTCTTAGTCTGTTAAAGATGTTTTTATACAACAATCTCTTAAGTCGTGATAATGATCAAATCTGAACCACACATTTTATAACAGAAAATGTGGTATAGAAAAATTGACAGATGAAACAAATAAACACAGAGGAAACAGGGCAACATCTCACTGTAAACATACTGATCTTATATTTGGTTTATTCAATTAATATTTGGATTACACTGTTGAAGAACTTTACACCAGTTACATCAAAACAGTGTTTCCCACACTGTTTTTTCTAGGGACCCATATTTTAAAAGTCACAAACCTTTGCGACCCAAGTCAATAGACATTATTCATGAACTCCTGGAAAACATGATGCAAGACGACCCAAAAAACAAAACTCTTGAAACCCACCTGAGGGTCGCGATCTAGTCTTTGGGAAACAATTCATTAGAAGATTCTTTCTGTGTAATCTTTAGTTTAATCTTTTTAAATCTCTGAGAAAAATGTGCTCCAGTGGTGGATACAGTGCGTCACACTGTACACTCACATATACACTTTTCATTAGAATATACATTTGTGCAGCCAGTTTGCATACAATAGAACCATGAGTATATATTGTAATGCCTTCAGCTGTCAGATGTTTTATCATCTTAGGAGGAGAATGTGCTCTCTCACTCTCTCTCTGCACTAAGAGAGAGCACAGAGTAATGCACCTCTAACAAACCCAGCCAACGAGTGATAATCAGTTTTGTGTCAGAACCTGATGCAACGACTGGTCATTTTATTTTACATCTCACGCCTACAGGTGGTCAAAGACTACGCACAAGCAGAATTAAAAAAAAATAAGAACTGCATCGTAACAACTTCAGTGTGTACACCTCGCTGCCTAATGCAGTTGATGTGAGCCTACGGTCACAATATTACAATATATTATGTCATCTTATGTATCAAGCACAAAACCAGAGAAACGGTCAGTGTATCGACATGTTTTTCTGTGGTTCAACCCCAGTAGAGTACGGAAGTCTCTGCGTTGACACGTTACCTGCAGCTCCTGGAGCAGGTCTCCACACAGCGCAGACTCAAACAGCTCTTTCCCATTCTGGTACGTCTTTATGATCTTCAGCTTGATCTCCGGAGAGCTGGTTTTGTTCAGTACCGCAACAGTGGTGTTGGACGGGGGGTGGGAGTGTTGAGAAGACAGGGTACTGTCCACAAGGGAGGGTGGTGGACTGGAGGAGGGCAAGTGTAATGGAGGCGGGGGGGGCAGAGTGTGGGTCATGATGTGAGGCATCTGAGACAGGTGGTGCTGGGATGACAGTAGTGGAAGCGGGGGACTCTGAGGGTGAGGGTGCGTCTGTATGTGAGGAGTGTTTGTGTGGAAGTGCTGTGCCTGGTGGTGGTGGTGGTGGTGGTGGTGATGGGAGTGATGGTGGTGAAGGTGTGGGTGATGAGTGGGCAGCGGGGGTGACACCGGAGACAAAGGTCTGTCCTGTAGACCGGGGCCTCTCAGGACCGTGCCCTCCGCTGGGATGATACCGTGTTCGCTGTAGCTGCGTATGGCCCCGTAGCCATTGGCTAAGCCGTTGGGAAACTGCGAGTACAGAGAAAACTTGGCCTGGGGCTCGTAAATGCCAAGACCTGGGGGGAAACCGTTGGAGACCTGCAGCATGTCCTCTGAACCTGATGGCGGGTAGAAGTCTGCATCCAGGGCAGCATCGTAGGAGGGACCGCCATCCTCGCACGGGTCACTGCCGGTGTCGCAGGTGCCTTCCTGTCTGAGATTGGCTGAGTCAATGAGCTGAGGGGGTTGCTGAATTGTATTTCCCATGATCCCTTGCATGAAAGAGAAGGAGAAATCCATTGTTGTGCTCCTGCATCCTTAACTGTCTTTTTCTTTGACTGGATCTAATACCAGGGAACATGACATGGGACACAGGTAAAGGTAAGTGAGACTGATAATTTCAATTTGCAGGTTTGACACTGAACATCAACTGGTGCACGATTACAAACACACAGTAAGCCAATACACATATCACTACTATTTTATCATATACATTTAACACCTTTATATAAGTGGCGCTTTGGCCCAGAGGCAATGTCTCTGTCATTGGTGTGGAACCCCGGGGTTCACCTCCTGGACAAGTTCGAATCCCGGTTAGGGCGGTTAATACCTTCCAGTGGACTCACCACCCGCAGGAAGGTTTGGGGGGTTGGTATGGTGCAATGTGATTTGGGTGGCGACTGCTGCCCCCGCGACCCGGTAACGGATAAGCGGATGAAAATGGATGGATGGACCTTTATATAATGCCCAGATTGGAAGAGCATAGCTTTGTGGCCATTTGTGTAACTGCAGCATAAATGCAACTTGTAAACAAAATAAAGTTATAATTGTATGATCAATTACATGGATTGGACCTTCTGCCAACACATACAGTATAAACATTTAGCGGATTAACTACCGCACCTATAGTGTCAGAATAGGCTGGCAAATATAAAATGAAGTCTAATATAATACTGGAATATCAAATAACGACTTCATTTGAAGTCACATAAAATCTCTCTGCTCCAAAACAAATTGAAATCATGACAGGGAGAGCATTATGACAGCACCCCAATATATCAATATCTGGCAATATGCACTGCTGTAAATAAGGTGACATTCCCTGGTTTGTATATAAAACAAAAACCCAAATGAATTATGGGTATCCATGAAGAGTAGAAGAAAATGAGTAGAAACTAGCGTTAACTGTTTTTTACAATATGTACTGTATGTGAACTTTGTGATTCAGGACAAATCCTCAGCCAGCATCACTATCACTGGTCTAACACTCTCAAACAAATGACCACGAGCTGCTACAACCCTTCCACAGCCTCCAGTTTGACAGCCCTTCATCAATGCTGTTTCACTTTTTATCAGCTTTAAGATCATTTTGATCCTGCTTTCTTCATTTCATTAACACCAACACATCGGTCTCTGGTGCAAAAACAAAGGGCAACCACCAGTAGCTCCTCACTTCACCGTCCTGGGTATCCAGCTTTAATTTTTTTTTATCATTTACAAAGCATATTAATCAGTCAGTTTAACAGTGTGATCACAGTGAATCGTATGTTTCTCTGCTGCTGGTTCATTTGTGTACAGTTAGGATTCCCCAGCACTGATCTTTAAGGTGGATAACAGTAATGTAAACATCTGCAAAGTGACAACTAACGGTCAGCAGAAACATGCATTGACTTCTGGGCGAGTTTACGGTATCGTGTGTATTTGGCAACATTTATTTAGATGGTCAAAACACAGTGGTTATGTTAAAACACGACTGTGCAGACAAAACAGGTTCCGTGAATAATCACAGAGCATTCTGCGATGTTAGCCTGAAGCTACCTGGCATCAAAAGAGGGGGGGGGGTCTGTTTAAAAGATGATGTTTGCAAACAGTGAACAATAAAAACCACGGGAAAACGACGGTGTACCTCTTGGTTACCCCATACAGCCGTTTGCAACTGTTGTTTTTCGATGTGTACTTCATTTGTGGCTATGTGGCTATGCTAGCGCGCATTTGCCAATATGGCTGCCTTTGCCCCTTTAAATCAAATTGTCTGGCGTGATTATGCCACCATCACTGGCGCTTTACTTGGGTGCAAAAATGTGGCCCAAAAATGAGCGACCGAGACGGTGTGTGTGAAGACGGAGAAGGGACTGGTGGGAGACGATAACGACATGTAATGACAACGGCAAACACACGCTCATGGCTAAAAGGAGAGGAGAGGGAGCAGAGGAGCAGCAGCAGCGCGGATATTGATGCCGAGTGGAGAGATGCAGGGGGATTAAAACAATGTCAGTACCTTCAGCGTGTCCCATTCTAAACACATACACCAGTCAGCGACGCGTCCTCTTTTAATCTATGGGCAAAATTAAATCAGGAAAACAAAAAGAAAAACAATCCTGCATTAGTGATAAAGCGCAGGCCTTTCCTTGTCGGTTTAACGCAATTCTCCACACAGTGAAGGAGTGGGTGTTACGCTATCTGGTCGCTGCCCAATCCCGAAGCTTGGCTCTTCCGCATTGTACTGCTGGTGTTATTTAGTCAAGAGAAAGCTGCTGGAGGCACACGTAGTTCTGTTGTTTAACCCTCCACCATTTCTTAGCGTCCGTTTGAATCGTGTAGTCATGTTAACCACGCTAATATGTAGCCACATGTCTACGTGTGGTTAAATAACAGCACGCTGCTCAATCAGCATCAAATCTTACAGATGTTAACCAAAGAGGTCAGCAGGGTTACTACGGGGAGTGGTTTATTTTTTTCTCTTTTATTTTTGTTTCGGTTTACAGGAAAGCAGGACAACACAAATACACACATGTAATACTTCAGCCGAAAATAAATACATTGAAATATAAAAGAACCAATAAGTGTCCCACTGTGGTTTGGTGATGGTCTTTTCTGTTGATATGGATTTCCTCCTGGTACTCTGGTGTAAACTAAATATACCATTGGTGTGAATTTGGTGTGCATGGTGGTTTTAACCACTCCCACTAAAAAAATAGGCAATAAATGGGTTAATTAATGAATCAGTAATGGGTGATTTTGCTATGGTGGCTAGCATAGCTGCCTCACAGGAAGAATTCTTTTGTTTGTGTCCTATTACAGCCAGAGCGCCTTTCTTTGTGGACCAGGCATGTTCTAATTTTGTGGAGATGGATTTTCTTCAAGTGCTCCGGATATTTAAGTTAAATTGGTTGAGAGGCTTACATTATTTTATTTGCACACTGAAGTGGATAATTTTTGAACAATTTTTGGAATGGACACTCTTATTGAGCCGTACAATGATGTAGGACAATATTTATTCAAAACTTGAAACAGATGTTGAAACTGAGGTCCATCATTTAGAAAATCCTTAGACGTAACTGTTTTGTTTTGAATTTAAATTGTCAAAGTAATTGAGAGATGTACAATACTGAGCAAATTCAGCGAATTTGGTAAATAACAACATAGAAGAAATAAAAACTAAAAAGAATATTAACTAGAAATAATGAATAATAAATGTAACCAGTGTAGCTTCTGCCTTGTGTTTTAAGAAAGCCGTCGTGCTGCTGTCATCAAAGCCTTTATTGAGCTGATGGAATTTACATAGAACAAAATACATTTTCCTTCTGGGCACCACCTGAGCCCCTCTCCCACAAAGTCCGAAGAAAGAGGGAGAGGTTGGGTGTGACTGACTTTTTATATCAAAAATATATACGTCAAGTTTCTGCCCAGGGAGGAACAACCCACTTCCGTCAGATAGAACAAATAAAACAACTTTGTGAATATTAAAACTACATAACTATTAACCTCTGTTACATAAAGAACCTGAATAACTTAGCCCAGTCTGGCATGCCAAAATGGGTCAAAGCACCCTGAAGAGAACTGCCAAGGCAAGCTAATGTATACTAAATATTTGGTCAGAAGAAATCATTTATTTGGGAGTAGAAAGGACCGGATGTAAGTCAAGAAACGTAGTAGAATGGCTTACATAGAATGGCCTTACAGACTGTAGTTACAGGCTAGAAATTCACCTGAACATCATGGAAGCTAGTAAAAGAGTCAGCAGTCTGGTATTTAACAGAAAAGGAACAGGTAACTACAGAGAATACTTTTTTATTAGAACAAAGTTGATCAGTTAAAGCACTGAAAAGCCTATTTCACATTCTATTTGTCATTAAAATTTTGATTTTTAAATAAATGATTGAAGTTAAAAAAAACACAAGCTTTTCTTTGTTGGTCATTACATTACGCCATAACATAACAGGTGTATTTGATAACTCCCTTTTCTACCGTACTAACAAGCCCAAAGGGAAAATAGTCTGTGTTGAGCTTTAAACGTGATACCTCAATCATTTTCATTTATCAGAGTTTGTTAGAAAAGCATTTGTATTACTGCGTTTTTCAATAGAGTATAAGGAAAAGTACTAGTGATGTGTCGTTCGCGAGTGATTCGTTCAAAATGAACGATTCTTTCATATGACTCGTGACTCCCGAGTCATATGAAAGATTCGTGACTCGCGACTCACGAATCACTAACTAATGTTGTGGTAAGGTTTTACCACCCCGGATTCGTTGATCAAGAACTTTCACAAAGTATAAAGAAAAGACAAAAGTCGTTGCTCGAGTTCGCCTGTGCACAGGGAGGATCCAGCGGCGAGTCAGGGGGTCGACTGCTGAATTCTGCTCTCTCCACAAACTCAGGCTCGTTTTATTGACACACACATCCAGGTGGTACATCTCAAGCGATACAGACTTCATTTGTTCTACACACAGACATACATTCTTTTTGGCAACTGCATCTACACCGGTTATTTCTCATCCTGTTCTTATCGTGCCCAGGTGCTGTTGTTGGGACCTTGTGTTCTAACTATGAATCCAGCCATTGTCAAATTGTATTCTAAAAGTTTCTGTTTCCCATCACACCAAGTACTCCTCTTTTCACAACAAACCTTGGTTTTATCTCAACCTCGCAGCTCCTTCTCTACATCTGCATGTTTTCAGTTCTAGCTTTAAGCAGCATTTTATGTTCAAGCTGGTTATATGTTTTAGCACATCTCTTATGATCTTTTTAAAACATGATTATGTATGTTGCATACTTCTATAAAATATGAACACATGAATACATTTCATCCACACTAATCACACTCGCGAATTAATCACTCACTGCGAACAAATCACTCCTGCGAACTAATCTTTCACTGTGAACTAATCTTTCGCCGTTAACTAATCTTTAACTACGAACGAATAACTCTGCAAACTAATCTTTGACTGTGAACTAATCTTTCACTACGAACGAATTACTCTGTGAACTAATCTTTCGCTGTGAACTAATCTTTCACTTCGTTCTCGCAGATTCGTTTCATTTGTCACGTGTCAGAGAGCTCGGGTCTCTTTTGCTCTCATTCATCTTCACATTGTGGTGTGTTTTTCTTTATGTTTTCATGGTTCAATTGCTTATGGTATTTTGTGTACTTTTTAAACTTTGCGGAAGCAAACCATCTTGCCTTCAGTATTTAGTGTCGGAGAACCGCAGCCTTCTTTACAACGCCCACAATAGGGCTAAAGTGTCACCTGCTGTAAAACGAATGAAATTATTCGATTCGTTCACGACTCGTTCATTTTACTGTTCGAGAGTCAAAGATCCGAATAAGTAAAAAGAGTCGGTCTTCCCATCACTAAAAAGTACCCATGTTGTGGAAAACGCCCATTTTCAGCGAACGATAGGCGTGGCCTTTTCAGCCACCGAATGAGTGGTCTGGTTGAGAAGACGATCTTTGGGTCTACGGGTGTTCTGAAGTTTTTTCCTACCTATACTTTTTTCCTATCCTAGTTAACTGCGCATGCGTACATCGGTCGGTAGCAGAAATTTATAGCGTAGTCTGAAGTTTTTTCCTACCTGAAGTTTTTTCCTACCCGTAGCGTAAATTTATAGCCATATCTGACATTTGTGTTTAGGGTGGTAGAACATTATTATACACATCAAATCACTATAAATACATGCTTCTCACTGTATTCAGAGAGGTAGCAAATTACTATAGACATGAAATAGCTATAAATACGTGCTTCTGACTAAAGTGGTAGCAAATTACTATAGACATGAAATCGCTATAAATACGTGCTTCTCACTGTATTTGGAATTGTAGCACATTACTATAGACATGAAATTGCTATAAATACGTGTCTGACTCTATTTAAAGTGGTAGCAAATTACTATAGGCATGAAATTGCTATAAATACATACTTCTCACTGTATTTAGAGTGGTAGCACATTATTTAAGGCTATACAGAAAATCCCTGTTCTCTCAGGGTTTAGGGTAGCACTTTATGTTCTTTACATTTACATTTGAAACCAGAGGGAATGTAAAAATGTTGCCCAATGCAGCACATACTGTAAAAGAGATAATCACACTCAATCTAGGATTTTTCAGCTGTTTTGTATACACAATATTTTGGTTTATTTTACATTAGTTTTTTTTTTTTAGCTATTTTCCAGTAAGATACAGGCTATGTCCATCCTTTGTTAACTTTGTTAGCTTCTGGAGTTATCTGCACATGAGATATGTTTCCACTCAGAAGGAATTCTTTGGTGTACTGTAAATGAATTATGAATGTAACTATGTGCTTGATTTGGTACATTATCTACATAACAACACTTGTTCTTCCAGATACATAATCTTTATAATTAAATACTATTAGCTTAATCTTCAAAGTACATAAACAAACTTGTAGCGAAATAGTACCTTCAACACTAGAACCCCACATCTGCTGAAATCCATCTGTGTGTTGGATTCCTCCCTTGACCTGTTCCTCAGGAAGTTTCTATTACAGCATTAAAAGTATTGTACACAAAGATATATTGGGTTTAGGTGACCCCTGGGTCACCTAGACCTGAAGGACTTTACGAGGGTTAAGTAAAGTAATTCCATATCAATAAACAGGCTGTATAAAGACTTACTTTACTGTGCTTAATGGTTACTCTACAGAGTCTTGCACAGCCTGCTTAATTTGTTCCAGCCGAGACGTCATTTTTAAATGTCCACATAACAAAAGAGAAAATCTGTCAAAGTACTGAGTCATCAGAAACCAAATTTTTTGGAAACAGACCACAAGAATCCAATGTGCAGTAACATTCACAGGACACAGCTAAACACTCGCTGCTGGC